TGATATATGTCATTTTTTTGGTTTCACCTTTAGTATATAGTCATGTTATTAATTAATATAATACTATATAGTTATAGATTTATGTGTTAAAGTCAATTTGATCCAATATAACGTAATGATTTTATTAATTTAGTACTATGAATTAAATCCATGTAATTGCAATATATCAGAATAATATCACAAATAATATTAATATTAGTAATAAGAATCTTTAATTTCTATTATAATATATAAACTAAAAAGATACAGAATATAATTTTATTGTCTTAAATAAGTTGTCAATCAAAAGATATAAAAAGAAAAATAAAGTTAGCATTTTTTTTTTGGAAAATGCTTTTTGGAGGAAAAAAAACGATACTAGAAAATGACATGTGTTATTCCTGGTGTCTGTTTTAAGTATAGTTATTGATTGATTGATTGATATTTGAAAAGGGTTTATTATTTTGTAGATGGAAAAATAAAATTCATTTTATTATCTCGATTATATAAGTAAGTGTAGCCGTTTAGGTGCCCCTCTATTTAACAAAAAAAAAAAAAAGGCCACCATGTGGCTAGGTTAGGTCGAGGTCAGGCCCAACTTTATGTCCATATATTTGGATTTCAATTATCATTTTTGTTTCAATAAATAAATAAATAAATAAAATCAATTACCATTAATTTTAAAAACCGATCATGGCTCAAAAATCATCTAGTTTACTCTATAAAAAGAAACACTATTTTGCTAAAGGTACTTTTTGCCGACGATAGTATACTTTTTGCTAAAGCTACTCTGCAGGAATGTTAAAAAATTGTTGGTATTATTAGTACGTACGAAAGTGCATTGGGTTAGAAAGTCAATCTATGTAAGACAGAGGTGGCTTTTAGCAAATGTGTTTCTGTTGATAGGAGGAACGAAATTATTGAGACCCTTGGTGTTAGAGAAGTGAAGAGACACGAGAAGTATCTAGGTTGCCTACGATGATTGGGAAGTCGAAAAAAGCCATTTTTGCGTGTTTAAAGGAGAGGATTTGGAAGAAATTGAATGGGTGGAAGGAAAGGTTATTGTCAAGGCCGGGGAAGGAGGTTCTTATTAAAGCCGTAGCACAAGCGATTCCAACATATATGATGAACATATTTAAAATTCCTCAAGGCCTAGCTCATTGATGAAATTCACACTCTTTTATGTCGATTCTGGTAGGAGTCAAGGGAAGATGAGAGGAAAATGCATTGCCAGAGTTGGGGAAAGCAATGTGTTCCGAAGGCTAAGGGTGGCATGGGTTTTAGGGATTTAAAATGTTTCAATCAAGCTCTCTTAGCGAAACAAGTTTGGCGGCTGCATAATTACGAGTCCACTCGACTTCACAAAATTCTTAAAGCTAAATACTTTCAGAATTCGACTGTACTTGAGGCGAATAGAGGGTACGATCCGAGTTATTCATGGAAGAGTATGTGGGGAGCAAAAAATTTGTTGCGTGATGGACTTGTTTAGAGAGTAGGGAATGGCTCTAATTAGACCTGTTAATCGGGCCGAACGGGTCTGGTTCGAGTCCGGTCGCTCCAAGTCACGGGTCACTTTGGGTCACGGGTCGAGAAGTGCTCAACCCTAACCCAAAGTGTCGGGTTCGGTTCAACCCAACAGGTTTAGAACAATTTTTTATTTTTTTAGCTTATTTTTTAAATTTTTTTTTATGTTTCAAGCTTAATTTGCTATTTTTTTCCAATTTTTTAAACGAACATTTTCACCATATTATTTTTAGCCATTACATACTACATAATTTAAATCGTCACCATTTCATTGAAGCACATCGAATTCTAACTAATAAAAAAAATAATAAACTTAAAAATAAAAGTTTTAAACATTCCAAAATTAAAGGAAGAGACCAACATAATTATATATGTGGACTATAATATCTCTTGACATAATATCACTAGATCTGCCAATCGATCAATGGTATGACGGTGATGTGGGTTATACGGATGCAATTAGTGTAGGTCAATAATTGGTGTAGGAGGTGATTGATGTGGAATTGAGCAAGAGTTAAATGAGATAGATAAATGAGAAAGAGATGAAATAACAAACGTCCGATGGTAGACAATTAATCAAACTTAATCAATAAACTAATACTTCGTATTAATTTTCAAATAAACGAATTTATTTAAAAAAAAAACATAAAATTGGGTCGACGGGTCGGGTTTGACCTGCAAGTTAACGGGTTAAACGGGTTCGGGTTAAATCGGGTTACGGGTCAAAAAACTTTGTTCAATACCTACAAAAACGGGTCGGGTTCGGATCGGGTTGAAAATTGATAGGTCTAGCTCTAGTATCCTCGCGTGGAAGGTACCATGCTTGTGAAGGAGGAGAAGCCATTTGTTCTTCTTAGAACTGCTGGCTTTGAGAAGAATATGGTGATGCGTGATTTTCTGGCTAAAGGATGCAGGGAGTGGAATGTTGATATGGTACGAAGCTCCTTTAATTCAGAATTTTCTTATCTTATCCTTGCCACACCGTTGTCTCAAATTGAATGTGCTGATTCGATGTATTGGTTTGGAACAAAGTGTGGGGAATACACAGTTAGATCGGGGTATTGGTTGGCGAAGTTGGGACAGGGGAATGGAGTAGTATGGGAGCTGATGAGGAAGTGTGGAAGCTGGTCTGGAAGGCACGTGGTCCACCTTAGCTCAAGCACTTTCTATGGAGTGCGGTGCGTGGTAATTTTGCTGTGAAATATTTGATATATATCAGATAGGCTAATGCGTGCATCGCCACATTACTGGGGACGTTGTGTGCCAAATTTGTGGGGCAGAGAGGGAGACTATAACTCACTCGTTGTTTGAATGTGAGGCTACAAATGCTATTTGGAGTTGAAGTGAGCTAAAAACGAACCTGGTGGATACGCCAATGGAGTCTTTTGCTGCGTGTTGGGGCTGAATTAATAGGAAGTATAATGCTGATGTTGTTTGTTCAATGGCGGCATTGATGTGGGCATCATGGCGATGTAGAAATTTGCTTGTTCTGGGGATGAAAGGCCTGACTTTGTAATACTTGCAGCTGGTTTTAATCGGCTCGTTCAAGATTATATGAGCTACGCTTCGAAGGTGTTCTTGCTTGCGAGTATAACTCAGACGGGGGCTGCCTTTACCACATTAATTGCGTCATATTCCACCCAAACCTTCGCATACCCCATTCTCCTTGCCACCTGCAGCTCGTATCTCATCGCCATAGCCTCCACATAAGTAGGGGGAGCAAGATGAACCTTCTTTGTTGCTGCCATAGCCTCCACATAGGTTCATCTTGCTCCCCCCCCCCCCCCCCACGTGATCAAGATAAATGTTGATGCTCATGTGCCAAAGGAGGGAATGGCTGGGTTGGGGGCAGTGTGCAGAGACGCAAGTGGCAGCGTCATTTTGGCAGTAACAAAGAAGGTTCATCTTGCTCCCCTACTTATGTGGAGGCTATGGCGATAAGATACGGGCTGCAGGTGGCAAGGAGAATGGGGTATGCGAAGGTTTGGCTGGAATCTGACGTAATTAATGTGGTAAAGGCGATCTCGATTATGGAACAAGGTTTCTCTTCGATTTATTCTATCTATGATAATATTGTTAGAGATAGAGCTAGTTTCAATGTATGCAATTTTTCATATGTTAAAAGACATTGTAATACAGTAGCTCACCTCGTAGCTCGGTGGGATACTGGCATGAACGTGAAAAATGTATGATTTTCTCCGTTCCCCCAAAGCATTACAACTTTGGCGGAACTGGACATTACTTAATAATATAGCTCTATCTTGTGTTTCAAAAAAAAAAAGAAACACTATTTTTCTTTTGCAAACATTTTTCGCTCAAGTCTCAACTAAAGAAATTTAGTTCATGTTGCAAAGTGTAAGAAAATAAAACAAGAACTTTTTAGCCTTGAGTAACTCAATAACAATAGTGTTGCATTTTTATTTGTTTAATACTTCTAATGCTGTCCATTAATCAGTTGGATTTTTAGCCTTGGGTAACTCAGTTGGAGGGTGTATGTCAGTAGTGTGAATAGTATAAAAGTCAAAGTAGGTTAAGTAAAAAAAAAAAGTATATACTCTAAGCTTTGGAAAGCTAAATGTCGCCCTCGAATATCTAACTAAGGCCCGCAAATAAACTATATTTTACAAATTTACCCTTGTATTTAAAAAAAAAAATTACCCCCCTCAAACAATAATTTACCCACCCTCACTACCTCTTCTCTCTCCAAACCACCACCACCACCACCTCCTCTTTTAACCACCAACCACCACCTCCTTTAATCTTTGGTTTCTCGATCTACACAGCCGCAGATATGATGAGGAAGGACAAGGGGAAGGCGGTCGCCGAAGACAAGATTTGTCTTTTTTTTTATTTTTTTTATTTTCTGAAATCGGGTTCAAACACCCTGTTTTTTCGAACAACCTAGGCTCAAACGCCTAGTTCATTCGAACAACCGTATGGTTGTACGAAAGATCTGGGCGGTTGAGATGAATCGCTTAGAAAATTCAAACAACCACAACAATAAAAAAAAATCGAAACCCAGGCAAACGCCTAGGATTTTCGATAACCCTAGGCTGAAACGCCTAGTTTTTTCGAAACTTCCTAGGATGTTCGAAAAAACTAGGCGTTTCAGCCTAGGGTTTTCGAAAATCCTAGACGTTTGCCTGGGTTTCGAATTTTAATACTTTTTTATCAGCACACACCGAGTCCATATGGTCCGACGAGCCTTCAGCGAGTAACATAGGTTGTGTTTCCAGTATTTCGTCGTCATCCATAAGATCTAATAAATTTGATTTTGCAAAATTTAATAAATTTGTTTGATTTTGAAAATCACGGTGGTTGGTTCGATGATCGTTGGTGGTCATTGACCACTGGAGATAACGGTTAAAATTTTTGTGTACGGTAAAAGTGTGAAATTGAGGTAAAATTAATTATTTTAATAATTGTTATTATAAGGTTAAGTACGTAATTTTATGTTATTTTGCGGGTGTTAGTTAGATATTCGAGGGCGATATTTAACAACCCCTTTTTTTATTTGTTTTGAGGAAAAGTCGAAACTTGCATAAATTTCTAAAAATAATACGAGTAGATGTTCAAATTATTTTCTTTTATAGAGCACGAAATACAAACATTATTTAAGGAAACCATTCAATAAAATCTATTGATATTTAGAAATTTCTTACTGTACTTTGTTTGGATGAATTCCAACCCAATTCCAAAAATAAAGAGGGAAAAGGTATTTATACAAAGTGTTGAATTTCAATTTTTTTGTTGAAGCTATCTTTTTGTTCACTCTTTGTCAAACAATTTTAATTGCAGTGAATTCTTTAATTACAATAACGAAACCCTAGTTTCTCTCCTCTCTTCTTCCGCAAACCTTTAATTACTGCCATGGCGGTGGCAGCTCCCGGCCAACTCAACCTCCATGAATCACCCACTTGGGGTTCTAGAAGCGTCGATTGTTTTCAGAAATTGGAACAAATTGGTGAAGGAACTTATGGGTATTTTACTGAATTTCTTAATTTTATGTTTTTTGGCAAAATTTGTAAATTGATGTTATCTTGTTTGTTGATTGATGGGTTTTCTAAGTTGTTAAATTTTGAATTTTGGGTCTGTTTAGAAGTTTCCTCATTGGGCATTGCGTTCTACGAATTTGAATTGTGGGAAATTGTTGATTTTGATGTAATATGGAACAAGAATAGTGTGATTTTGTTTGAAAATTTACTCTTTTGATGCAATGTTTATACTGTTATCTAGTCTTGATGGTCTAATTTAACCAGGGTGGGGCGGGGTGGGATGGGGACAGGGGATTACATAAACTGATGTGAATTATACTGAGAATGAGGTTAGTTTTTTCTATGAAATGAAAGGTTATTTACTGGTGTTGGATATGGTTTGACAATTGATCAATGAGTTGTTATTGGGTAATTCAGCTTTGTGTGTTTTGACACTGGGCACATCTTGATCGAGTAAAATTCGAACGTTCACTTTGAGATTTTCGGTAATCTTGGGTTGTTTCTGGATTGGTTTTGTTAGTTTGTGTTGTATTTCTATGAGTCAATTCAGTTATGGAGGTGAGATTAACCTTAACTTAGTTAATTGATTCAATATAGGGTGAAATTCCATTGCTCGGTCATTGAATAATGATTATGAGCTTTTCGTCTGGCCATGAATTTTGCTTGATCTTTCCGTGATAGAAATGTATTGAATTTGTTTTGCCCCCAATAAAACTTACATTTATATGGTCCTTATCACGAGTAATATCCCTTTTTACATAAAAGGATATTTATTTCTTAGCCTTCTTTAACTGATGCATACAATATCGGAATGATCTGATTGATATTTTCTCTTTGTCTTTCTAACCTCAGGCAAGTTTTCATGGCTAAAGAAATTGAGACTGGAGAAATTGTTGCTTTGAAGAAAATAAGAATGGACAATGAAAAAGAAGGGGTATGTGTTCAGGGCAGCACGCTCTTTGTGTTGCTTTCCAAATTTAATATACTTGGTAGCTAAACAGTGTTTAAAACTTGGTTTACTAGATGTAAAATTAATTTGATTACTGTTTCAGTTTCCAATAACTGCCATTCGTGAAATCAAGATTCTGAAGAAGCTGCATCATGAAAATGTGATACAACTAAAGGAGATTGTAACATCCCCTGGTGAATTACTCTGACCTTTGGCCTGCTAATAACTCTACTATCTTCTTCAAAACTTTGTTTTTACTGTATGCATGCTCTATTTCAGGTCCTGAAAAGGATGAGCAAGGGAGGCCAGGTAATAGACTATGATCTTCTTTGCATATTATGTTGTTTCTATGCACATCTATATCTATATCTATATAACCTTTAATACATGTTATTTGTTTGTCAAGTTAGCTTAGACTGTGTGGCCTTTAAATACTTGCTGCAGATGGTAATAAATATAAAGGTGGAATCTACATGGTCTTTGAGTATATGGATCATGATTTAACTGGTCTTGCTGATCGTCCTGGGATGAGATTTTCCGTTCCACAGATCAAGGTACTGTAAGTCTGTAACAAGTGTACTGAATTCTTATCTCCTTATCGACCAGATTCCACTGTGTTTTTTAAAAACCTGAACGAGTAATATTTGCGGTTGCAGTGTTACATGAGACAACTTTTGACGGGACTTCACTATTGTCACGTAAACCAAGTACTGCATCGTGATATTAAAGGTCTTATAATCTCTAATCTTGGTGTTTGGTTTGTTTGCTGAGTTTAGGAGTATTAGGATCCAGTCTGATATATGTGTATGTCAGGTTCAAATCTTCTCATTGACAATGAGGGGATGCTAAAGCTTGCAGATTTTGGCCTTGCTCGCTCTTTTTCTAGTGATCATAATGGGAATCTCACCAACCGTGTTATTACATTGTGGTACAGGTGTGTGGTTGATTTGAGGAATTAAAATGTGGATATTATAATATCCTCCATTATGTTATTCAAAGCCCTTTATAGATCTTTATCAATTTTTCATTCTTGGTCAATATTTGATCCTTTTTTAATTTGAGGCAGACCTCCAGAGCTGCTGCTTGGTAGCACAAAGTATGGTCCTGCTGTTGACATGTGGTCAGTTGGATGTATCTTCGCGGAGCTGCTCCATGGAAAACCAGTATTTCCTGGCAAAGATGAGGTATAAATGAGGAATAGGAGGCTGGTTTAAGCCATGTTTCCCCCTCTTGGTAGAGGTTTTATTTTCCTGTATGTGTGCGTGAGAGGCGCTAGGAAGGAAGTTTATTTTTAAATAACAATAATCTTTCGACAAATGAGACAAACGAAACAAAAGTAAGAATTTGACAATTGACATGCTAATTTCTCTCTAATAGAAGCTCTACCTATCCCGATTGTAGGTGCTATGGCTAGATTTTAGAGTAGACGACTAGACGCTCAAACAATCACTTAGCCAATTGTAAGTGGCCAAACCACTACTTACTCCAATTGTAAGTGTTTACCAAGGTAGAATTTTGGGTATTAGATTACCTTTCATAGACAACTACTAAATCTAGATTTTGGGTGATTAAAGTGCTATAAATATTAGATCTGGAAGAGCAGTGGCTTCTTTAGCACATTTGTGGATATTGGACTTTAGCACAACTGTCAGCATGTTTGTCAGTATCTTGGAGTGGATGTTGTCTACTTTCTTGGGTTGGTCAGGCTAAACTTCTAAAGCTATGAATTGACGTCATCTGTTGAGTCTTGGATTTGGTCAGCCTAGTGTCATTTTGTCGTATCTTATGCAGTGATTCTTGTTGTGTTAGGTGTTACTATGTGATGCCCTTGGCTCTGAACTGCAATCCTTTCTTTAATAGTATGAAGAGCTGTGTTTTCCCTACTACTTACTCTGGCCTGTGTGATACATGGTTTGTTCTTATTGTGTATTGCGCTATTGTAGCCAGAGCAAATAAATAAGATTTTTGAGCTTTGTGGAGCTCCAGATGAGGCCAACTGGCCAGGGGTTACAAAACTCCCTTGGTATACCAACTTTAAGCCAAATAGGCCAATGAAGAGACGTCTACGGGAGTATTTTAGACAGTATGTTGATTTTCCTTTTTCATGCCTTGAAAAGCAAATAATCATTTCCAGTTTTGCAGATAGTCACCCTAATTTTATTTTGAAATTTTCCTGTGGCAGCTTTGATCGACATGCTTTGGAGTTGTTGGAGAGAATGCTGACACTTGATCCAGCACAGGTAAAAAGTGGCAGATTACCTATGCTTAAAATCTTTCTTGTTTGTTTCTTGCAAAATGTTGGAGAAATTAACTGAAGTAGGGAACAAATAATTGATTATTTGACTAATCATATTTAGTATTTTTCATTGTCCAAGTCCCATGTTAAACTCTCATTTGTAAATGGTTAAAGATTAATAGAAGTTAAATGGAGAGTAAAGAAAAATAAAAAGTGGATAAATTATTCAGTGAAAAAGTAGTATGAGAAAGTGTCGGGATGCAAAGAGAAAAAGGTTCTGATGGAGAGAGAAAAGTAGAAATTAATTCTAAATTAGTGACCAACTTTAAAGACAATGGCATGCTTATTTTAGGACATTCTAAAATAGGAAGTGAAATTTTCTATGGGATAGAGGGATCTTATTGCTTGTCATTTGCTTTGCTTCCATAATTTCTAGTCTTTGTTTTGTTTAGATGAGCTGATTTGTCTTTCTTTTGCATATTATGGACTCATACATATTTCATGTTGGTTCAGAGAATTTCTGCAAAGGATGCACTAGATGCTGAATACTTCTGGGCTGATCCATTGCCTTGTGATCCAAAGAGGTTCTTTTACTTCTTTTTCTTGGATGTACTATTTCGGTATTCATTTATAAAATGTATATAATAGACCAAATTTTTTCAAGCTAATCAGAGTTCCTTAGTAAAAACTTAATTCTTTTTAAATCAGTTTGCCAAAATATGAAGCATCACATGAATTCCAAACAAAGAAGAAACGCCAGCAGCAAAGACAACATGAAGAAGCAGCAAAACGTCAGAAACTTCAGCATCCCCCACCACATTCTCGTCTTCCACCTATTCAGCAATCTGGTCAATCACATGGTCAGATGCGGCCTGGACCTAACCAGCCCATGCATGGTTCTCATTCGTCAGTTCCTGCAGGGCCTGGCCATCACTATGGAAAACCTAGAGGGCCCTCTGCTGGAGGCCCCAACAGATATTCCCAGAGTGGAAATCCTAGTGGTGGATATAGTCACCCTAATCGTGCAAGCCAAGGTGGCGGCGGAGGGGGCTATGGCAATGCCCCCTACCCACAGCAAGGGCGTGTTCCGCCTTATGGTTCAAGTGGCCCACGTGGTAGTGGGGCAAGCGGTTATGGAGCAGGTGCACCAAATTTTCAGCAAGGTGGTCCTTATGGCGGTTCAGGTACTGGCCGAGGCTCAAATATGAATCGTAATCAGCAGCAGTATGGTTGGCAGCAATGACATTACGAATCCTAGATGAGGTAGAAAGGATCATGCTATAGGTTGAGCATTGAAAAACTTCACACCATATATATTTCAATTTGTCCAAATCGATCTGGTCATGGCCCTGAACCTGGAATTGTCAAATAAAATGAGTAAGGTTCAATTTAATCAAAGATTCTTCTGGCCATGGAGAACGTTGAAGAACCAAGATGCAACAAGTGTGTGGGTGATGCTCGGTGATGAATTTGTCAGTGTCTTACATTTAGGACGTTTTGTTGTGGTTGTATCTATATTTGCTGCATTTCAGATTTGATGATTGAGCTTAATATAAGAAGTTGCTGGAGGTGTGCTCTTTATGTGCTAATAATAATGCATCAGATAGCCTGCTGAGCTAAGCTGCTACCTTCCCCTTCCTTTTGCCCAGTTTTGTTGGGCTGATGTATGATTCTAATGTTCATGTTGTATGAAATTCAAATTACAATAAACTTACCTTGTTGGTTGATTGATATTTTTTTTTTTTTTTTTGGTGTATAGAGAGCCAGGGAAAATTGTCTAGAACTACTCGGAAGATAGGCCCATTTGTGAACAACTACCCATTTTTTTTATTTGTTTACAACTATCCGCAAGTTTGAAAAAGTTTGGGTAGAACTACCCATTAACGTTTTCCATCCAAAAAACCGTTAGTGGGCCCCACATTGTACACGTGTCATTTTTTTATTGGATAAAAAAATGAAAAAAAAAAACCCTAAACCCTAACCCAGCCCCACTACCGTCAACTATGAACTGCCGCTGGCAGCCCCAAAACCCTAACCCAGCCCCACCGTCGGCACCCCCAGCCACCGAAAAACCCACCGGAGTTGACCTTAAAGCAACCCAGCCACCGAAAAAACCCACCTAACCCATCCTTGAAACACCCCCCACTGAAAGACACCCCAAAACCCTAATATGGTCCCGTAACCCTAGCCACCAGCCTCCACCACCCCGAAACCCCACCCCCCTTCTCTCTCGCCGCCATTTCTCCGCCGATGCTGGCCCCCTCTCCTTCCTCTCCTTTTCCCAAACGCACAAAAACGTCATTGAAGCTCCATTGAAGCTTTCACATGAAAGCTTGAGGAACATCATTTCTTCACCAAATTTTATGAAACTTGTACCAAAATGTTCACAATTCAACATACAATCAATTAGAGCAAACAATTTTGTGAATTGCTTCACCAAACAAAAAAACCCCAATTCAATTTTTTTAGGGTTCTTCACAAAAATTGGTGGTGATTGGAGTTTAGGCTGGTGGTGATGGTGGTTGTTTGGTGTTGTGGGCTGTGGGTTTTCCAGTGGAGAGGGGAATGGGGTTGCTGGGTTCCGGTGGTGGGGATGGGGTGGTCAGGGAAGGAGGGTGGGGTTGGGTTGGATTTTCTGTTTTTTTTTTTTTTATAAATGGGTAGTTGTTCACAAATGACCCTATCTTACGGGTAGTTCTAGACAATTTTCCCAGAGAGCCACAAGGGCAGGTGATGAGAATCAATCCCAAGATCTCTTAGGATCGGGAGGGAAGCTTTAACCACTTGAGTTATCCCTTACTCTCATATCTTTGATTAGCATGTGTTGGATTTTTAATGTATATCGAACTAAATTTATTTTTGGTGAGTTTAAATAATATCGAAATTAAATTATTTTTAAAACCCTAAATATATCAAACTAAACTCAAATCATGTTTATATTTGGTAGTCAAAGTTGAACAAGACCTTAATTGATTACATCAATGTCATATACTTTTGTACTTCAAACAAAAATCTTCATTTCTCGAAACCAAGGACATGTCATAACCAGTTGAATTAACCCTTTTTGACAAGTTTAGTCCACGTATAGTTATTCCTACATTGTAACCGTTATATAGGAAATCTTAGTCTCGAATTCCATAATCCATCGAGTCAGTTAGTCACTCAAGCCCATCCACCTTATTTCTATCAGGTTGGGCCCAGTCAAATTAAACCAACAGATGTTTGTTTTTCTAAAAGGACTATTAACTTTTTTTTTTTTTTTTTTTTTTGAAGGGGAAGGACTATTAACTTCATTTTTCTGCAATTTTTTGTCTTTCCTCGTTTCATCGTTTCGCTTCTCACTTTCGTTTGATCTGATCGGAAAATGGACGAGGTAATTTTCCCTGTTCTTCATCGTTATCGATTTCTCTTTCCTACTCTCCTGAATCTCACGCATTTTATTTATAATTTGCAATTTTGATTAATTTTTGCAATTAATTTTACCAATTTGAATGTTGTTATTGGGTGAATGCATTATTTGATTTTGTTTGTAATTATCGATAAAATTGTATTGGTAGAATAAAAGAAAGTGCGACGATTTAATGATTTTGTGGTTAGCATTTTGCTTTGTTTTTGGATTGAATTATGAGTGAAATTTTAATTTTTGTGATGTTTGCGAATTTGGGAAAAATTTGTAATCTTTGAGTATGTTATACGACAGAAACAATATCAGAGCTTTAATCCTTGTTACAATAATCTAATTGATAGCATGAGTTTGTTTCCTTTGAGACAAATGATAATGAGATTACGCCCTTGTAATTTTGTAAAGCTTTATAGTGTGTTATTAATGGATTTCGAGGGTTTTCCAGAAAAGAAGTGATGAAAAAGTCTTCAAAAATACTCCTAAATATGTGTATAGTGAATAATTTACATACCATCATGTAATCTAAGATAAGCGCCTTTCGCATTTCATCTTAGAGGTACAATGGGATTACAAAAGCCTAATGCACATAACCTGTAGATATATTTTGAAAAGAATGAACAACTAAGCTAATTGCAGCTTTATTAAATGTGCACAATAGTGATTGGGCTTACCTCCCTTCCACCGACCAAGAACGAAACAAGGACCTTTTCTTTTGGGAGGGAGTTCATGGGAAGATACAAAATATGTATTAAATGGTATGGACGATGTAAAATATTTTCCATTCCTTATGGTTCCTCCTCTATTCTCAAAATTTTCTCCCTATATTTTGTTTGGACGAGTTCTTTTCGTTCAAAGACTATCTTCATGGGCTGCAAGTGGCTATGTAGAGATTTGATCAATTGATCAACTAGGAATTATTAAGATTTGCATATCTTGAAAGAGTTAAATTCTTTAAGTATCCTTGACTCCTTGTTGAAGGGAGGCTTAATCATCATGTATGTAAAAGAGCTGCTAAGTGCTAATTATAGCTCATTGACTTATATACAATAATATTGTATTATTGACCATTGTTTGGTTTTACACTGACTTATCAGATTAGTCTTGAGGAGCTCTGCTATTTGACTTTGTTATGTGATAAGAAATTTCTAATAAAGAGCATCATTGGAAGTTAAGGGGATACAATAATCTTGAATTATTGATCATTGTTTGGTTTAACTTTATCCTCTCCACTTATGACAGAAAATTTGGAAGATTTGATGAATTTGTGGGGGGACACTTTTTATGAAAATGACCTAAATTACATCGATTTTGAATAGACCCCAAGCACATAATGGAATTGGAATACTTTACTATTGCTGAAAAAACCATGGGTGATGAAAATAGAGTGTGAGAGATAGTTCATTCTGGTTTTTAAAACACTAGTTTACACCATGCTGCTAAAAATATGCTTACATATTTGGTCTTGTCATGAACTTGTTGTTGGGGTTGTTCATCCCAAGTCCCACATGGAAGAAATAAGGAAGAGATGACTTCCTTATAAGTCGAAGCACACTCCATTAGTATGAGGCCTTTTGGGAAGGTGTCCAAAAACAAATCCATGCGGGTTAGGCCCAAAGTAGACAATGTCATACTAATGTGGAGTGGAGTGTGCGTACGGCCCGACAAGGTGGTGACCCGGGCCAGCACTTGTCACTTTTCAGACATTTACACCCAAAAAAGGGAGGGGGGGGGGGGGAGCAGATGTCCCACAATTACTCCATAATTCTAATTTATATTGATCAAAGCAGACACAAAGTACTTCCGTAATAGGAATCATATTTGAAATCAAAAGCCTGGTGGTGGAGAAGGGGTCTATGAAAAAGTAGGAGTTAATAGTTTGGGATTTATATAATTGATTGGAAAAGAGAGACACTTTATACTGAGAAATTTGTTTTAAATGAAAATTTGAAGGCAATTATTTATTCATTCTATAGCTACAATTGTTATGCATTAAACTTAAAATCCTATCTCTTGGGTATCATATAATTAATGAGAGTATGGGATTGGGAGTTATTGCATGATAGTAAATTAGTAATTTTTCGAGCTATGTTTTGGTTGAAGAATTAAGAGAAATACATATTAAGAGTAGGAGATAAAATTGGGGATTATAAGGTGAGGTAATAATTCATTTGCACTTTACATAAGCAGTAAGATAGGAAGGAATTACCAGTACTCTTTGAAAGAAAATTTCAAGAGTCAGTATTCAATTAATCAATCAAAGTCTTAATCCCATAAGTAAAGTCAGCTACATGAATCAAATTTGATTATTCCGTGTAGTCATCGACAAAAATCTTCCTCCTCCATCCCTTACGATCCAATGTCTCATCCTCATGCAAATATATATACTACATATTCTTCCTAACTCCTTTCAACCATGTCATTTTCGGTCTCCCTCTCCCTCATTTAACCCCTCCATGGTCCCACTCTTCCACTCTTCGTACCGGTGCACCCTCGGGTCTCCGTCTTACATGTCCAAACCAACGCAAGCGATTTTCCCATATTTTGTCATTTTGTCTGCAATGCCTGCCACACCTACTTTCTTGCGAATAATCTCATTTTTGATTTTTTCTCTTAGAGTGTTTCCCCCGCATCCAGCTTAACATGCACATTTCTTTAACCTCCATCTTTTTAATGTGCTCCTTCTTAGAAGGCTAACATTATGTACCATAGAGCAATTCAACTGTAAGGGAATGCTTCGGTCACATAACACTCATGTGGCCACTTTCCATTTAAGCCGCCTCGACTTAGCCTTGTGGGCCACGTCTTGATCAATGTCACCATTTTTCTGGATGATCGACCCAAGATATTTAAAACATTCACTCATGGTCAAGTCCTTTTCGTCCATACTCACCACATCATTGTTTGTCCCCCTCTGAGTACCAAAGCGGCAAGCCAAATATTCAGTCTTACGCCGACTTAGCTTAAACCCTCTATATTCCAACCTTTGCCTCCATTGCTCCAACTTGGCATTAACCCCATCTATAGTTCATCCCCCAAAACGATATCATCTGCAAACAACATACACCATGGAACCTCATCTTGAATTGGTCTAGTTACTTCATCCAGAACCTTTGCAAAAAGAAAAGGGCTTAATGTAGACCCTTGATGCAATCCAATTGTAATTGGAAAATCTTTTGTCAACCCTCCACATGTCCTCACATTTGGTGACACATCCCAATACATATCCTTAGTCAGGTCCACGTACCTTCGTGGGATGCCTTTCTTCAACATTAACCACCAAAGTACCTCTCTTGGTACCTTGTCATATGCCTTCTCTAAATCAATAAAGATAAAATTATGTAAAAGGTGGTTCCGTACAAAAAAAGTCTTAAAAGGCGGTTTCTTCGGAAATAGAAATATGGAGTGTATACAAGTAGAAGTTATTGCTTCATAAAAGTATGTACCATGTCATATACACATTTAATGTTTTTGTAATCAACAGGACAGGTTCAGTTTGTTTACATGTAGTTCTGCTACCTTTTCTCTTTTTTTTTTTTTACAAAAAAAAATTATATTATATATGTTTATTGGCTTGCAGATCGAACTGAAGACTGCTCCAGCTGATTTTCGATTTCCTACAACAAATCAAACTCGACACTGTTTCACCAGATATATTGAATTCCACAGGTATGAATTCTGCTTTTTCTGGCATATCCTGCTTATGTGGATGTATGAATTCCTAATTTTTTAATTCATAAGTTAGTTAAGGATACAAACACTAGATGGATTTATTCCAACCTGGATATTGTTTAATGGATATATATCTCAGGTGCACAGCAGCTAAGGGTGAAGAGTCCGATGCTTGTGAAAAGTTTGCCAGATTCTATCGTGCACTTTGTCCTGGTGAATGGGTAAGTCCTATTAAAAATCCAATATTACAGGTTATACATGGTTTTTATTTATGAACTGCTTTACTGAGGTCAATATTATCTACAAGTTGGTCTTTAACGATCTTGTCATTAAGATCCTACTTATTTACCTTCCTTCCTAGTTCCTTCCCCTGAGGACACAAATATATCCTTTTTGTTATAACCTACTGGTGTATTAGATAGTCCTCACTCTAAGAAAGCGAATCTACTGAAGTGATTTTTCACAGCTGATTCTCTGTTGGTGCCATTCGCTGTTGTTGCCGCAAACCCATATTTTAAAAATGATCTTGAAAGTCCCTTTGGCATTTTCTTGGCAAAATTTCCACCAATTGATCAATGAACTTATCATTTCCTCCACATACGCTGTTGAAGATGGAGAAAAACATGGCGTCCATATATCTTTGTGATTACAGAAGATGGAAAACTTTCTGTCATCCATTAATTGCTTGCGCCTCATGGTATTATGGTTGTTGCAAGGATTTTTCTCTCCATGGTATTCTTATGGTTGAGAGTCGATTCCTAAGGAAAATGAAAGCTTTGCTTGTCTTATCTGTCCATTCATCATATGACTGTAGAATCGAAAGTGCCGATTTGAACTGCAGTTTAAATTACCAACTTTCAGTGTCTTGCTTTAACCTACCCACAAAAACAAAATTTACTTCCATTTCGACTTTCTTAATCCAAACGAACCAAACTGACACCTATTTTAAAATACCTCCTTTATTTTACTACGCATGTGGAGAATTAAAATCGAAGCGAGCACAGAATTGGAGGAGGGTCGTTCAGGATTCCAAGGATTCAAAGACAGGGTCAATACCTTTTCTTCTAAGTGCACCCTCTTTCTAATGGACCTGCTCCACTTTAATGACTAGGGTGAGGGAGGAATGATCAAAGTATCATAAATTCATAATGGGATGCTTTATCTATACTAGTCGAGCTAAAGTTCGTATTTATACAGTTCTCTGCGGTATTGCTGATATATATCGTATACAGAAGGTTTAACAGCACTATGCTATGGTAAATTAACCCAAACCTACTTTTTAGAACTTTCCACCATTCTCATGCTGAAACCAAGTTGATTAAAGAAAATTTGTCATTTTCTCTCTTTACCTCACTACTTAGCCAGTTAGCCCCCTCTCCTATCCTCGGAGATTCTTATATACACCCGGGTGCATGGTGCAACTAAGGTTATTTTTTCTCATTTCGATGATTATTGCTCATTCAATCATCAAATAAGCAAAATTTACCCTTGGGTGCACCTTGCACCCGGGCGTATATAAGCATTTTCACCTATAGTTCTCTAGTCTTTTTAGCCTTTGTTGGAACATAAAAATGGTGAGTATAATAAGTGTCTTGATTTTTGTTGCCTATAATAAATGGTTTGAAACCCCCACCCTAAATTTTATTTTGGTATACTCTATTCTCTTGATTTCAAATGGTGATACTGCAGTAAAAGTGGATCCACTTCTAGAAGTTGTAACAATGGAAGGGCAACAGTGGTGGTATTTGGGGTAGTTGGAATAGGATGGAGTGGTGGTCTGGTGGATATATGCTGAAGTTAATGGTGGTTGGATAGAAACCACTAAAAGGTGGCACAGTTGGTTGTTGGCCATATATGATTGTTTTAGTAATTACTGTAATGTTTTTCATTTTAGAGTAGTAGTGAGATTACTCCCTAATGGGTGGTTTCTTGTCCTTAATCCTTAAAGTGGAACCTAATAAACAAGCTTAGTAATGGCAAGATTGGCAACCAACAAAACTGGCTGCTATAAATATTTTATGTTATGCATTAGTGTTTTCTCTTGCAATTTTTCCCGGTATATGGAAGACATCTAATTGAGGCTAACATCACAAATTATTGAATTCCTTGTAACTGTTGGTAGGTTGATCGCTGGAATGAGCAGAGGGAGAATGGGACTTTTCCTGGGCCTCTGTAATCACCAAATGCTTGATAAAGATCAATCTTTCGGCACTTGGAAACTTTAAATTGCTCTTGATTTCCTTCAAATATTCACTTTTTTTTTTCCAAACCCGGCTGGATTGATAAAATTTCCATTGAAATACTCGAATTTAATCCTCATTGCTGTCCACATAATGTGTGACTAACTTCATTGTTAGTTTCAGATAATGGTTATCTTTAATTGCGTTGCTTGTGTATTGATTTGTTCAATTGTCAACCTGAGCTCATAGGTTGATCCAACTTTGGCCCAAAACTTCTAAGAAAGTTTTTCTTTTGGCTCATAGGGAGTATATTTCCACGCTTGGAGTATTTTCACATCTTTATTAACTTCGTAGAACTAGTCTTTTAGTTAAAGATTGGTGAAAGAAGTGTAAATTCGTACATAGTATAAACGTGTTAATAACTGCCTCATGTAGCCGTTGCATTTTGCCTCCATTTCATTTGCTAACATTGTTTCTTCCACAATTTTACTCGTTTTTCTTTAGAAAGTAGAATGTCGAACGTTGATTTTCATTCTGTTGACTCTAATAAATTAGCTCAAATTGACTTATGTTATTAGATCTTGTTTATTTTGAGATCTAACTTTATTTCCTATTGCCGCAGTGACGTAAGGTCTATACTAACCCATATAAATTTATTGAAATACTTACAAAGTATTATATTTTTACGTACATTATAATTCAATACTAAGAAAATTGTAACTAGAGATTAGATTAGATAAAAAAAAAATGTCTAAATCCTAATTACCATTAAAAAGTTGTGTCGAAATTTAATTCGTGATAGTTTGATCAATAATATGTAATATTATCGATTTATTTATGAAACTTTGGTTTCTTCTAATTTTAAATTATAATCCATTTTTAAATGCATACTGAACCTTTCTAATTGTTGCGATTAAATAACATAATTGTTTATGCTAATATATTATGGAGTATATTCTACCGTGATCCACCGATTTATAGATAGACATATACCGACAATATTTTAGTGTGGTTGAAATGTTCTTTTTCTTGCAAACAGAAAAATTGGTACCAATTGTTTTGAAATTGTTAAAGAATTGCTATTTTGTCAATTCAATTATTTTTTCCTTTCAACTAGTAATAAATTGTTAATATAGTTTTTGTCTTGCCCTCTTACAATCTTCACTTGTCGAAAAGAAGACTGCTAGTGCAGTAGTGCATTATGGCGAATAAGCCAGCTCTGAAAGATGAGGCAAACATTATAATAAGTGGCACCTTAGAATTTTAATTTGATGGGTCTTTAATTGCATTTGCTTCGACGACACCTCGTCAATTGTCCTCTTAGTGGGTTGCTAGCAGATAACTACAAACAACTACACCATTATTCCATTCATATCACCTTGTACTTTTTCAATTCCAGCGATTATGCATACCTGAATCTTTTGTCATGTAGAACTTATATGTAAGAAGTATGCCAATGGGTAGCTTTAGTGCCTATTATTTGGTCGTTTGGTTAACATATAAAGTAGTATTCCGTATTTCTCATGCCATTGAATTCATGGAAATTATTTCCTTAATCAAATTTAGGCTTTGATAGTCTAATCATACAAGTATATCGAGGTTCAATAATCATTCTCATAAATTAACATAAATTTTTTCACTGCATTTTGTCTATAATGTCCAAAATGATAGATCCTGTTGAAATGAGTAGTACATCATATTATTATAAGTCTTGTGTAAGGCATGTGTACGTTAACTTTATTGTAAGACGATCAGTTTGAGGGTAACTTTAACTATTTTTATGATAACTTTAACCTCTTAAAGGGTAAATTTTAATTTGTCATTGATTTGAATTTTCTTTTAATGTGCAATTTCTTATCGATTTATGATTACATACTATAAAGGCTAATATGATTAATTTAATACATTAAAAGCTTTTGTTAACTAAACTTTATTATTAGAAAAATAATAACTTTAGGTTTAAAAAAAGAAAAAAAAACAAAAAAGAATAACTTTAAATACTTTTAAGATAACTTTAACTCGTCTTACAATAAATTAACGTATGTACGCTCGCCTTTTTGAAAAATTTGTGTAAAATAATTATATATCTTAGCCTTTTTTTTTTTAATTTTATCTTTGTGGCATGTTATTTTATCTTATTATAAATATTTATTAGATCTTATTATAGCTTATTAGCCCTTATATATTGTGGCTTATCTGAACTTATCAAAATTTATTTCATGTTATTTTAACTTAATAGTTTTATTTTATCTTATATAGAATACTAACTTATTATTAATCCTAATGTGAATGATCAAGATCAACTATCATAGATGGTTATATTATTGAGACGTTTGAATTATACTGTCTTTGATTTTAAAAAACCAAAAATAAAAAATACTTCGCATAATTTTTTGAGAAGCCTAAACCAATTACGAAACATGCAAATAGTAGACCCTTACAAACTGATAATCAATTCGTCACCCAAACAGCGTTGCAGCAATGCAGCTGCATGCATAATTGCATGCCTTGAAACACAATACTTGCGCGTCACCCTTTCAAATTCTTACTCGTATCAAACCATCAGATTAAACTTACTAAATAAAGAATGCCGATTTTTTTATATAAAAAGAAAAAAGAAAAAGAAGAACCTAATATTACTAAAGCAATAAGGCAAAAATTCTCAAACAAAAAAATTAAAATAAAAAGGATCTTATTAACAAACGTCCCAAAAGTATAGGACGTTAGATAAGCACTTAAACTATTATCTAAAATGGTATGAATTTGAGGGAATACATGACAAAATCACACGTCAATCTGTGTAATATTGTTCATTTTAATTTAATAAATCTACTTTTAGTTATGTTATGTAACGTCCTTGGAACGTTCATTTCCTTAAAAATAATAGGTGGTTGGAAAGGTTTTCAAAAGCACCAAACCTTTTTAGTTAAACAAAGTCAATAAATTTGGTATTAAGTGATGTTAATTTCTTACCACCATCTCTATTAGCCTTTACTTACCACCGCACCATCTCCATTCACTTCATTTCTTTATATATTAAATCTACTTTCTACAATTATAGTTTCTATTAAACATTTTTTTTTGAGGATTGTTTTCTATTAAACATTATGAACAAAAATTGAATTTTATTTTTCGAGAATTTTCATTTACTATTGTAACATGCACATGTAAAATCAATCATTAGATTGTAACCAAACATTTTTTTTTTTTTTTTTTATATATACTAAGGTCCTGTTCAGTTCACCTTAAAAAAATAATATTCAGTAAAAATAATTTCAATTCAGTAAAAATTAGTTGAGTTCAGTAAAAATAATTTCAATTTAATAAAAATAATTTCAGTTCAGTAAAAATCAGTAACTCTAAAGAAGAAATATAACAGAGCATCAGTAAAAATAATTTCAATTCGGCAAAATTAATTTCAGTTTAGTAAAAATAATTTCAGTTCAGTAAAAATAATTTAAGTTCAACAAAAATAATATCAGTTCAGTAAAAATAATTTCAATTCAACAAAAATAAGGTGAAGTGAACGAGGCCTAAATAACACTTGTTTGACATTATTGTTTAGTCCATATTACACAAATATTTAAATAATTTACTCTCTTTAATACATCATTACATAGAACAAAACAATTAAACTTAAATATAGTATATTATAAACACCTTACTCCGTAGTTTATTCATCATAGTTTTGATATCAATATCATTCAACATTGTTTTAATGAATATTGACCAGTACTACAACATGTACTAAAAAAATATACTTTGTAATTTTTAAGTACAAGTAAAACAACTAAATAGCTAGCCATCACATGCCCTTTACAAAAAAAACAATTGGCCCATAATTCTATATATTAATCTCTCTTATTTACTAATAGAAAGTTGCAACTTGTATGTAAATTATTTTCACTACCAATGATGATGTATACTTCCTCCGTTTTTATTTAGTTGACACCGTTTGATTTTTCCATTATTTATAAACAATACTTTGACTAGCTTTTGTTATCTATAGCTACGATAAAACATAGTCAAGTGAGATCTTGTTTGAATCGTCTCAATGTATATTTTATTTATATCCACTTTTTATAATTTTATAATATCAAAAATTAGAGATATTAATCGTTAAAATAGTGCGTTGACAAGCGTGACAAAAGAAATGTGTCAACTAAATAAAAACGGAGGTAGTATATTTTATTATCAGAATATAAAATATACAACATACATGTGTATTGTATGGGTGGTCGTATATGGTCTCATTACCAAACGCATGCCTTCCATAGTTCCATGCATGCCATGTGCCGATGTGCGTATATACTAAAAACCACACTGCGTTATCTACGGTAGAATATAAGAAATCCAATAATCCAAGTCTTCTTTTCAGTTTTCATGCCATGTTCAAATTATGACCTTCAAATTCAAACCTATAATAATATATACTACGTATAATGTCATGTTTCTAATTATCAATCGTTAGGTACACTAGCTTTTTCTGGTATATATGATCTAATAATTGTACTCCGTAGCATTTTGTAAAAAAAAAGGGAAGGAGTATCACTGTACCGGCTTATATTGTATACCTAGAAGCATGAGCAAATCTATACAAAGGAAGGGTTGTCTATCGTAGGGCTGAGCAAAGTAAAACTATTCGAAAATTTGATCTGTAACCGTTCTGAAAATTAGGGTATTCGATCCGATAACCATAACGGTTCGGGTACCCGTTTCGATAATTTGTTATCAGATGTGGTAATTGGGTATTGTTTCGGGGTTTTCTGATGTCCTGCGGGAGAGTTACAATTCCGAGACTGGAATTCGGGCGCCTGTACCTGCAAAACAACGGAGATTCCTTGTGGTGGGAGCTCCGCCTCCGACGGTGAAGTTAGTACTTGTTTGAGGAGTAGATAAATGCGAAAAAGTAAAGGTGAAAGATCTGGTTCCTCAAGGGAGGAGTGACCAGTGTGTTTAGTTTTCTCTAGGTGAGAGTAATTAATTGCTTAACCCCCTTTAATTAGGATTAATGAAGGTATTTATAGTCTTGGGAAGCGTGCCCAATCCTAGGTTTAGGTCAACCTAGAGCTGATTGGGCTTTTCCCCGAAAACTGGGCCTATGTGGCCATTTTCCTAGGTGGCAAATAGCAGGCCACTTGGCGTGGCATGATTGGTCCATGGTGGCAAATGGATGTATGCCACGTGGCAGGTCCTGAGAGGTCCAAATGGAGGACACTTGGCAGGACCTGATTGGGCGGGGAAAACCCCCTAATCAGGTATATTTTAAAATTAACGGTTACCCGATCCGATCCGATAAGCATTTTTTTGTTTTTTTTTTCCTTACTTAAATCTATTTTTTCAAAATCTAAACTCTTACTTTACTTCGTAATCACTTTATAATATCAATGATTATATAATATCAATGATTAGTAATATTATTAATAATTTGATCAAGATCATGTGGTATTGTTG